TTTACTTCACAACTCATAACATGATGGGTATGGTGTGTCTCTGGATCAATGGAGAATGAAGGGAATAACACGAGGGATGACCCCCTGTGTCTAGAGAATATCTCAAGTGGGTATGCGGTTGGACATGTTAGTATGAGCACGAACGTATCTACCAGCGGGGGTTGGAATGGAACCACTTAGATTATCTCGAACAAATTTCTACATCCATGGTGCGATTCACAATGAAAACATTGAGCATTGCATAGTTAATCGCCTGGGGTAGACAGATCATGGGTATCAAGAGCCTCGGCAGATGGTGCACAGAAGGTGGTTAGCTGAACATATGATATTCCCATGCAGCCTGCGGTTCTCATCCTACTTTTGCCGCTTACAATTTACTAGCAGTCTGTCATCATACATCTCGGTTGTAGTTATTCTGCGCTACAATTCAGTTGTTTCTATGCGTGGATTTATTTTTCCATGCAATATTTACTTAATCACTACCGTACCACTAACCTATTTCTAAGTCAATCTAGGTGATTGGGCATTTCTAATTCAAATTGTAGCAGGCATCTTTGCCCTTCCGCCGGTTATCTTCATAATATCTGCCTTTTCCTAAGCACACCTAACTTCACCATAACGGATGAACATCATCATCTTCATTATACACGTTAGCTGTAGGTGAAAAACACCTCAGCTATTGTGTCGCAATACTAAAGACAAGAAGAAAAATACAACAGTGGTACGCCGGCTGAGTCCCCAGTAACGGATGACCAGCGAGTAATATATCTACACCCATTCTCGTGACTAATATGTGGAACAGAACATGTGGCATCCATATCAGCGTGTTAATCGCTAGTCAGTTACTTGCCGGGATTATTCAGTTTACACACGGACGAGTCAACGTATGGGCACTTGCAACAAAAATTGTTGTGCCTTAAACACCGAATTTCCAAATTGCATTCTAAAGCGATGAAGCGTTGTAGAGCACTTGGGCTTCATGGATAGTCGTTGATCACTACACCCACTTTGTTCAATGGAATTCACGAACGAATGTGGAATATTGTAAGCAGCAAGCGCTTGGTAGCCAGGAGTTAACGCGACCCATTCACGCCAGCGGTGTCATCACTACTGTTGGCTGTTAACATGAGAACGCTTGAGGATGGGCGACCAATCTGAGGGATTTATTAGAGTTCTTTCGAATCCGTCACACATACGCACACACGCGCGTTTGTGGCCTTTCAACAGTGTATACAGAGGATGGCTAACTGGAGGGCCTATGTGTTGCTGACATGCACAATGAGCAACCCGCACATAGACGTTTGAAGAAACTTCGAGGTCACTCGCAGTACGAGTGGCACTCTGGTCGGACACTAGGTCTGCATGGATTGTGGAGCTCCGGTGAGTGAGACTGCAAAGCACTGTCGTACTACACGAACGAACGTGTTCCCATGCTTTTGAGCTCCGGTCACTGTGTGGATACTGGCACCTAGGGATGGAAACTCCTAGAGCGCATGTTAACCTGTATTCTTGCGTCTAGTTATGGAGGCTGTAGTCCGTCTGAGCCATTAACAACTGCGGAATGTCCTCATGGATCGGAACAATGCGAACATGTATGACTTCGGTTTGGAGGTAAGAATAACAGCCAAAGTTTTCATGCTATGAGCAGCTGCGCGTCAAATAGTAAAGTGTGCAATAAATGACAACTTACCGACAATGTCGAACAATACCTATGTTCCATCTGGCTCACCACTGGCGTCCTTTTGGGTCCACGCAACTAGTTATGAATTGATTCGTTCCATCCATCCGTCACGACGCACAAAACACTGAATCGGAGCGTCCTAGTAATTCTGCAACATTCCCGGCCATTGAGAGCCCCACAGACATAACACTGCGCTGTATCGACAATATGTCGCGATTAGGCATACGAACGAGACCTTGGTAGCATGGGCGGCTTAGACAGAGTACTGGGCAATTCAAAGTAAACGAAATCGACATAACTAGGTTAATGGTGAATGAGCATAAGTAACACGGTGTAGCCCAACTGCGGTGAGGAAGCATGGTGTATGCAACATCAGCCTCAGCATGGCGCAAAACATACATACACCAATGATTTAGCGGCGTCCGTATCCGGATTTGTCTGTCACTGTGATCTCCATGGGGACAGCCACAGGACGCCTGCGCCTACTGAGGAACCATGGGTGGCTTGCGCTGCACCACCCACGGTTCCACCCACACAACCCATATCCGGTGTAAACCCGATGGAATAACACCGGGCGACATGTGGATGGGAGTCAAGTTTCATCAACGGAGCCGGTCCACACTCCTTCAGCAAGCAGAACAGAAACATTCCGGCCTCATTGGGAAATCATGCACGCCAGACGTACACATGGCAGTGGCTGGACCGTAGCCCGTTCCACACAGGATAGAACCACTCTTTGAGCCTAGCGCCGTCAGGAGGACGGTGCACCCCGTCCCCTCCAGCAACGACCAACTGTCTCCTGGAGCCAGTATGGACGAGGTAGTGGGTCATAGACAGGTACGCACCTTGTTAACATACACGTGAAGCGCAACCACACTTGGGATGTCAACCAAGAGGCAGTCATTCGTTTTGCCGATGTCAGATAAATGATATCGAATAAAGTAAACATTTATGACGACATAAATACTCGCTCAATTAGCATATTTAAGAAATTGGTTACAAGCGAATTCGCGGTAAGTAAAATATGTCCGAAAGTTATTTACAAAATACCGGGTGATAAAGTTACGCAAGTTCACTACATTTGGCATGCGCGACGTGCGCAACTTAGGAGAAGAATATCAGGTACGCAGAACAAACCAAATATAATGGAATGAATTTTATCCACATTAAAAAGACCTAGGTTAGGTGCGAATTGATTTAGCCCATTTGCGGTGAATTAGCATCATGAATGCAACATCAGCCTCAGCATTGGGCACATATATACAAATGTACTTATCCTCCTCCTCAAAACACGGTCTCCTTTCGGTCACAGTGTAACTTTTTTTTACACCAAATGGCCGGCTATTATCTCTCCGTAACATTGTTCATCCTTTTCTGGTGGCTCAGCTGCCGTGCCTGTATTTTTTCTCTTTTCCTATGTAATTCGGCACAATAGCTCGGGCGTTTTTCATCTCCAACTAATGCAAATAATTTATGATGTGTTACTTTGCTGTGCGTTCTGATAGACGGATTTTGTTCCTAATGTTTAGCTAAACTTTGAAGTCTTCTGCCCAACTCACATGCAGGCCAGATAAATGTTATTTTATCTGCGGTTTTCATCCAAGGCATCTGGCTCAGCAGCTATTCTCACAATTTCTTCGGGAAGTGTTGGACATTAATTTGTGTCTTCAGAATCTGATTGGGACTGTTTTTGCACGCCGCCCACATTCGGTTTACCTTTTTACCCGTCGGTGTGTGAATGTTTATCGTCTGCAGGTATTGGTATCCTTAACTTCTCTCTCATATTCTGGATGGTGTTTACAAATCCCTGTCTCATCATCACTACACGTTAGCTATTGTTGGGAAACACCTCAGCTATCATGCACAAAATAAAATTATAATATCTATGGAGATAATAAACATCCGAGAATACAAAAAATCATAAGACGAGTAATGTACTGCCTGGTCTCATATTATTCATCGAGTGTGAACTCCTGGTTCGAAAATGAAACTAGGCGGGAGGATGAGGGACAAAGAAGCTGAACCTTAACCTGGTATAATGGTTTGCGTGACTCAGCAATCCCTTGTGTTGTACTGTGTGGTGCTTCTTTGCACCTTTAGAGTCAGTTATACTGGACTTGTCAGTGGTAAGAGGCCGAACAAATTCAGTATCCTAGTACTCCAGGTGGGGCGTTGAAGTGAGAGTTGCTCCTTAATCCTTAAAACGGACTCCATGTAGGTCACTGCCATTCTTCCTCTAGCTTAAGGCCAGGTTTTTTGACCAGACTTTGTTTGAGAACGCTAGTCATTCTCCCGTCCAGGTCCGAGTAGCTTGACAGTATCTTGCCCATACAATACACTAACTTCTTCAAACCCTTAGATGCCAGCCAGTGAATCGTTTGACTGTAAGTTATGGCAGCTTTGATTGATTGGGTTCTCAGCGTCGTTATTCTTTAGTTTGAATACCTCTTTTAACACTTGGAAAGTGTTAATCTGTTTATCTTCTATTAATCCTGGAGTCAAGTACGCTGTCGCCTAGTAGTCTTATCTCAAGGATTCCCTTTCGATTTTAATTTCTTTTGACGTATAGCTTATCTTAATGCAAGCGCTGCGGCGCGACTTCCCTGCTACTACTTACACTGTTGGATCCCTTTGGTTTTCTCAGAGTCTGGTTACAATCTCTTGGAACATTCCGAATGGAGCATGATGTCCGCTCGATCATCCTATTGTTGATCTCATTTTATCGAACCTGAGATAAGCTCGTTCATCCAGTTGTTACCCTTCGTCAAGTGACAACTGCCTTTTCGTAGAGTCTGCAGATGCGTCATTGTTGTTCGCGATAGGAAATAACAAAGAAGTCACAGCAGCAGTTTGAGGCTACTTTTCCTTCTTTGGAATTCGCCACTTTTCCATTTCATCTCGTCCGTATCTTTTACCCGTATATAAGTCTTAAAGTATCCCACACCGGACCATTTTGCGGCTTTGAGAACCGGACTCTGTTTTCATTAAACTGGCTTTTGTTACCATTATTTATTTGTCAGGTTTACATTAAACTAACCTGGATCAACCAAGTGTTCGTGATTCGCAACTTGTCTTGGACTGTAGTAGAATTGGACCATTGACTGTGATTGTGATGCGATTTGACCTAGTTCACATCGTCTTATATTCGTTATGTCTATTCACATTGTTCAGCAGCGTTCGGTTCTGTGCACTGAAGGCGTACCCAGAGGTTCTAACTCCGGGGGAAGTAACACTAGGAGCTTTGCGTCGATTTTGTGCTTTTGCTTCGTTTCATAAACCCATCTATACATAGCATCACTGTTGACTCTGCTTTTTCCCTAGGCCCCGCTCGATCCGAATCAGGCGTGCCGTTACTTGTGTACATATCAAATCGCCCGCGCTAACGGATACGCTATTCCTTTGCATCGCCTACTCACAACCTATCTCAGTTTCGTTCCCGAACGGCGGTCTCTTGCCTCGGTTGCCGTCTCGAAAAGGCTCGGTGACGAAGAAGGCAATTCCACTGCAATTGACCTGTGTCCCGCCGATGGCATTTTGCTTCTTGCCCTATCTAGTTTGGCAGAATATCCACTCAGCTGCACAAATGTTCCTCGTAACATGGAAGCCTTTGGTTTAAGCTTATTGGCAGCGTATTGGGTGCAGCATTTAGGCATCGTACATGCCTCAACTGATCATCATTTTCGGCTTAGAATGTGCGCGCTGTTCGGCCCACACACATTGGCATGTCCGGATTTGATTTTACCGCAGCTCAGTCGTTTGGATGTGAAGCAGCTTCTTTACGTTTCGCTGGGGTGAGTTCCAGTGGTTGCATGCTCTTTTTAACAAACTGGTTTTGCTACTTTTTGTCGCTATCAAATGTGTACATCAGATGTTGCGGTGTTTTCGTTACAGTCCCATTGATTTCAGGTTTGTTTTGTCGCTTGGCCACAATTCTTATCACCGCCAGGTTGGAAAAGGCGTCATCAGTATCCCGGCACTCCGTACCGAGGCCACGGAGCTACACTGCTACCATTTTTTGCATGTGGGCTTGTGATACTTCGAACTCCTCTGCACCTACGCGTATTTGAACCGCTGACCTCTAGATTACAAGGCAGATGCCTTATCTATTCAGTCACCGGCCGGCATCGCGGTTTGATCGTTGCACATATATTGTAAAATCTTCCTTCCATCCTCACTCATCTACCTTTAAGCTTTTTTCGCTCCTCCGAATCTTTTCTCTCTTCTGGTTGTGTTGGTGTTTTGCTGGATTAGAACGCGGGACAGCCTAGTGATCGTCGTGGTTCGTTATACTTCTTGCTCATTTCCCTGGGTATTCTAATGATGAGCACATGATCACCATTTCTACGGTACTACTGGTATCGAGTGCCCAGAAAACCCGAACTACTTACCACCACTCAACGAATGCTTACTGTATTTCAGCTGCTTTTGTTTTTTATTCATTCCGCTCTTATCGTTAGTTGCTCGATCCCGACCGACACGTACCTGAATTTTCGGTTTTTCATTTTTGTCATTTCCCTGTCGTAATAGTTTTTAAGCATTTTCTTTCGTTTACTTAGGCACTCATGCAATGTAAGCATGCGTTTTGCTAAAGTCTCTTATTTTGTGGTTCTTTCAGTGATCTAGTCATGCTGTGCCTTGTTACGCCTCTGCGCGTGCTTATAGTCCATCATCTCATCAACACCTTGAGGTTACTAAATGCGGCGCGGGCATTACAACTACGCCCAGCGTTAACTTCGACGATGGTCCTTCTACTAGTTCTACGGCTGTCTCGGCTCGATCGCTCTCACTGGTGGCTTGTTGCTTCACTGCCGTGGCGACATTTGGAACTTCGGGGCGCGATGTTCATGTGGAAGTGTCCAGCGCTGTGGAAGTTTACGCCTACATAGACTTGTCGCATATATATATATATATATATATATATATATATATATATATATAATTCCTACTTGAGACGTCAACTGAAACCTGGGGGCGACCTACCGGTCTTAGAGAGCTTGGACGGAAAGACGCTCATTTCAAGCGCGGTGCGCGCGGATGCCTTGGCTACTCACTTCCTCACCTTATTTTCCAGTAAACCGGCGGTTGTTCCCGTACCGACACGGGTTGTGCCAGTCTTGCTCGACAGCTTGCAATGGGATGTAATCAAAGTGTATCAGCTACTCGTCAATCTCGATGGTGCGAGGCCCCCCAGGACCAGACGGACTTCACCTACTAATACTCAAGTCCCTATCGATTATCATCTCACCAGCCGTGACAAACCTATTCAATAAATCACACTGAAGGATCTGTCCCGAACCACTGTATATTTTAAGAGAGCAAGAACGAACAACATTTTACGGGATAACCTGAATTCAGAGTATTTCGTGTCTTCTCATTCAGCCGCTTACAGACAAACCATGGAAAGAGTAAAGGAATGCAATTGAAAAAGGGTCAATAATGGAATCAACAAAACTGCGAAAATCAAAGTCATCGCCTACGTCTTACCAGAGCAAGGCAAGACTGGCCACAAGATCGACCTGTTTACAGTGGTTAGATTTCATTCGTCGGATGGCAGAGGCTTCAGCGAAACGAAGCAAGCTCGGGTTATTTTGTCTGCTGATAACCTTGAATGCGTCATGTGGGTTTCCGCACAAGGTACAATCGAGCAGATGCTGAGCGATTGAGATGGCAGGGAGTTTAGGGCCACTATTTGCCAGGTTCCGTGGAACAGGTTCCATGATCCTAGTTGATAGCCTTCTCAATAGTGAGACTACTTCCCAAAGGTGGTGATCCGAGTTAAACTGAGAACTATGCACCGATCTGTTTGACTTCGATATTATCCAAAGTTACCGAGAAGGTTGTGAAAAGGTGTCTGCTGTCGTTCTTCGAATCGATGGACGTTTGACGCCAGCGCAACACGACTTTACGAAATGGCGATCCTGCATCACCAACTTGATGTACGCAAACCATCAGTGGGTACGAGCTCTCAATTAACAGATGGATGTTGACCTGGTGTACATCGACTTTAGTAAGGCGTTTGACAGTGAACCACGAGGTACTCCTTGGTAAACGGAGGACCTACGGAATCGGTGGCACACTACTTCAGTGATTACACGAGTTTATTGTGGGACGAAAGTTTGGAGTACAGGTATTATTTCTTATTCATATCAACGATCTTCCGCAGCAGCTCCAGTCATCATGTGCCCTGTGTGCAGATGATTTGAAAATTTGGAGGATCATTGAGAACCTGGACGACTGTGCTCGCTTCCAGCATGACTAAGAGCGACTGTCAACGCGGTCCACAGAAATGCAACTCCCTCTTAACGCAAGCAAGTCGGAGTTCATCAGTATCACCGGACGTCCAGCCACTCGATCATGCACCTTAAACGGCCAGTAGCTCTACCCTAACACATCTTTCAGAGACTTAGGTGTGCTCTTGCGACATGATATGAGATCAGTAGAAAATACAGAGAAATAGTACCGTGCGGGACTTCGTGTGCTCTGAGCATTAAGACGCAGTTTCTCCACATGGTTCGAAGAAACCGTCCATCGTCTATTCGCCTCGCTCATTAGACCAATCCTTGAATACCATGCCCCAGTTTACCATCCGATAACCCAGTGGGAAACTGAAAAGCTGGAGAAAATACAGCATATCGCAATTAGAATGATACCGAGTCTGCGAAAGCTTCCGTATGAAATGTCTTCTGAAAGGCTCGGACTCTACACACTATCCTGCCGCCGAGTATGAATTGACCTTATTGTGAGCCATCGAGTACTACACCTGAATCACTTCCCCATACTGTGGCCAATATTTCACCTGCGGGAACCCTGTAACACCCGAGGACACCGTCACAAACTCAGGGTCCGCTACATGAACAAAGTATCACGTCAGCTTTGTATAGAATGAAGAATCGTAAACTTATGGAATGCACTACTAGAGGGATTAATAGAGGCCGATTCTGTGAAGTGTTTTAAAACACGTATCGACAATTATTTCGGAAATCTGCGCTTTTGTAAAACGATGCACATACAATGCCAAAAGCGGACATCGTATACCCGGAAATAATGACGCCATTACGAATTTCTAACCGAACACGGATAAACGATTAACTGACCAAACACTACCGCTAACGATGTTGCATTCATGATGCTTCTTCACCGCAGTTGGGCTAAACCAACATACACTTAAACTAGGTCTCTTTTTAAGCTGGATGAATTTCATTCCACTTCATTTGATTTGTTCTGCCTACCGGAATATTAAATTTCCACGTTGCTTACGGTAATTGTGCTTATCTTCGTTAACTTTATTGCGTTTGTAGCATTTTCTGAGTCACTTCTGGACATGTTTTACGTATCGCGGATTCGTTGCTAACCAACATACTCCATATGCTAATTTAGGGAAGAGTTATGTCTGCATAGCCGTATTCCTTAACATATATATCTTATTTGTTACTGTTATTTTAAGTGATTTGCTGTTGTTTGACATTCCCGGTGCGGCTGCGCTTGATGTGCATGTTGACAAGGTGCTTACCTGTCTATTGCCCCTACCTCGTCCATACTGACTCCAGGAGACAGTTGCTCGTTGCTAGAGAGGATGAGTTGCACGGTCCTTGTGGTCGTGCTAGGCTCAAAGAGTGGTTCCAAGCAGTCAGTGTGGAGCGAACTAGGGTCCAGCCACCGCCTTATGTGCGCTTGATTCCCCAAATACAGCGTGCTTGTGTTTGCCTGTGAAGGAGTGTGGGCCGGCTCCGTTGATGAAACGTGGCTCCCATACGCATGGCTCTCGGTCTTATTCCTTCGGGTTTACACTGGATATGGGGTGTGTGCTTGGAGCAGTGGGTAGTGCAGCGCAAGGCACCCATGGTCCCTCTATAGGCGCAGGCATCCTGTGGCTGGCCACAGTGACAGACAAATCCGAAATCGGATGCCGCCAACCATGTGGGTAAGAGTACATTTTGTGATGCAACAAATTGTGGAGGAGCATCAAGTTTTGCTTTAGACGTTGCAGCCAGAGAGGCTCGATGTGAAGCTGTATGCAACGTTCGCGGTAGTTTAGAGTGGATATGCTGTTGAAGAAAATTTTTTCGAATGACCTCTGCAAATTTTCCATAACTTTCGTATTTAACTTCTGCATGCTGCCATAGGTGAAGTTGCAGTATTCGAGCATAGGACGATTAACAGTTTTAAATAATTTTAATCTGGCAGGAATTGTATGGATTTTGTGGCATATGGTAGCCGCGGATTGTTTCGGCCGAGTTGTTTGGTACTAGGCTTGTTCAGAAAAACGGAACTCGGAAGAGTAGCGGGCTAATAGACTGCCGTATTGACATACTTTTGTTGTTAAGTTTAATTGACCCGTTGGGGATCGAGCAACCACACAACATTTGATTTGTCGGTTGAGAATTTTATCTAGCACGTCTCAGACCACTCTTCAAACAGTGAAGGCCTTGAATTAAAAGTAGGGTGCTCTGAAGCGTATCACGCTAGGGTTTCTAAACAGTCTTCATATCATCTGCAAATTGAAAGGGTTGGCCATTTTTGATCGCACTGCCAGTATCATAGATGCAGAGGAGAAAAAGCGGACGGCCGAGTACGGTTCCTTGGATGACGCCACTGGTTATTGGACGAGGAGAAGAATGGTGATCACCAAAAGTGACTATTTGAGACTATTTGAGATTGCGATGTACGATGACAGCCAATTTAAAAGCGGGTTCTGGATTCCAGTCGCTTCCATTTCCTTCAACAATCGTTTGTGTGGTACGCGGTCAAATGCTTTCTGTAGGTCAAAAAGTAAAATTATTATCACCTAACT